CTCCCGTCAACAAGAACACAGAGGAAAGAGACAAAACACAACAGTTGTAAGTTGACTCCCTCGTTGTGAAAACAGAGAGACCAGATGCTTCTGTATTTCCTATATGTTGGATTGTTTTAAATTATGGGACTTCCTTCTGATTGGCCCACTGAGTTTTTTCTCTCCCTTTCCTGCACCATGCTTCCCAGTGTGGCAACACCCATTTCCCAAACGATCACCTTTCTAAACCTTGTGATGAAGCAACATCTTTGCACATTTGTCTGGTCTTCCCAAGACTCCTTTTCTACCTGAGCTTTTGTGTCTCAGACTTACATCTTGCTTCAAGCTCCAGCTTCCCTGGTAGGCTAACCAGTAAGGTACCAGGAATTAATTTCCCTGGAACAGATTAAATGAATTTCATTATCTATATACTACTCAGTCCTGCTGTTTTTTTGCTCCTTTTTTGGAATGTGGTGAGGTTTAACTTTTATTTGCTTTTTTTAAAAAACAAAGAAACAATTTGCACATGTAGGTATTCTACAACCAGTAAACTGTTACTAATCGGCTGCCTCTCCACAGTATTCTCCTCTCTCCTTTTCCCCTGTCCTGTCCTCTTGAATCCACATTTCAAACTTGCTCGTCCTCTTGTCCTCTATACTTCCTCACGCTTTCCCAGTCCCCTTCTACCGTTTTTCCTTTCAGCACTCATGATCAAGTGGTCCATTATTATTATTGTGCTTTTACTTTTTTGGTTGGTTATGATGAAAATTTCTAAATTTACATTTTTATAAGGTATTGTAAATAAAAAAAATTCTATACTTGTGGGGAGAGTGTGTAGTGTTCTTCTGTATTCGTAGAAATGCAGGCTACCTACAGAAGGGGCCGACAGGCCTTCCTTAGGCAGACATTTCCACATAGCAGAGACAGCATCAGTTGGGAGTGACTGAGCTCCTGCCCTGCCATCAGGGGGCACCAGCGGTAGAAGGAAACAGTGTTAACTGTAAGAAGATTCAGCGAATCCAGAAGTGATCTGGATGGGGACAGTGAAGCTGCCAGGCTCGTGGATGGTCAGGGTGGTGTGAACCAAAGCCACTGGCCGGAAGGGCCAAGAGGAGCTCTCTACATGGGGCGTATGGGGAGCAGTGAGGCAAATGAGGCTCAGGGTAAGTATAAGGCCATGCACACTGTGGTAGGAAAAAATCCCAAATTTTAAATATGCACATGCACAGTCTTAACTGCTAGTGAAAAAGACCTGAGGGTTATGTCAGATGGCTTGTTGACTCAGTGTGTGGCTAGGGCTGGTTAGGAAAGGTTTTGAAAATAAAGTATTCTGATGTCTATGAAAATGTAAGTGAAGTGCTGTTATGTCTGTGTATAGGTCTGTGGTGCAGCCACATGGGGCACACAGCAAACAGTTTTGATCTCCCTATCCCAGGAAAGGGTATCATAAAGCTGGAAAAGGTACTGAAGAGGTCAACTAAAGATATCAGTGGTTGGAGCACCTTTCCTTTGAGAAAATACTGAAGTACTTGCAGCTTTTCAGTTTAGAAAATGAATGGTTAAGGAGTGACATGATCAAGGCTTTAAAATTATATGTGGTGTAGATAAAATATTAATATTGGGGGGGTGACACACAAACATTGTTAGTAGGGTACGGATAGAAGTACATAACAAATCAAGTTGCAGAGCTGCCACAGGATGCAGTCACGACCACAAACTAGATAGCTTTATACAGAGATAGATAAATTTGTGGAGGATAGATCTGTCAATGGCTACTAGCCATGATGGCTGAATCGTTCTACTATGTTTGGAAGCAGTGTTGATGTAAACACCAGTTGCAGGACAACAGAGACTTTGGATTCCAGACTCTGCTTTGTAAGCCTTCTGGAGAGTATTTAGGTGGCCACTGTGGGGAAAAGAATGTTGACTAAGTGGACCATTCGTCTGATCCAGAGGGGCTGTACGATTCTTACTAGTGCAGGTGCACTAATCTATATTACTTCATGTTGTATTCTTAGAATGTCTTCAAAAAGTAGATATAATTTTTTTAACTGCAATATGGGAGTGGAAGTGAGTTTCTTTGTTTTTATGAAGTAAAAATACTACCAGATATATATGTAGTTCATATGCAGAGTATGTGTAAAGTACTGCTCTTAGCTAGTAACTGAATGAAGTTTCAGGGATATAGTTAAGCAAGCTGTGCTATGTGGTGAGTTTTCCAAAACAAGGGATGCTGCAATGAGTCTGTTCTGTCTTTCTAAAGGCTGGGAAGAGGGATCATCTGATACAGTGAGCAATAACAAGGTTTAAAGACATCGGCATTGTGAGACCATCTTTGCACTTGCAAGCTGTTCAGATATTCTGCTTTCTTCTCTGAAAAGGGACTGGAGAAATCAGCATCCCAAGGAGGTTCCTTTAGTAATGGCGGTTTTGCACTCCTGAGAACCCATAGCAGCTTTAATGCATCTAATCAAACAGAAATGGAGAAAGGTCCCGCCACCAACTCCCTAGCAAAAAAGACTTGGTTATTCTTTTGGGGTTGTTGTGAAAAAGCTTTGTAATATGTTGTACATAATTACTTTATCACAGTGATACTCAGTGGCATGGAAGCCATATATGGCTTTTTGATGTGCCACCTGTGGCTCTTTTGAATGTAGCTCCTCAATGTGGCAGCTGCCCTATGTTCCAGGAAAGTGGGCAAGGTCACTGTTTGGTGGGACTTGTGACTGGTAGGTAGTTCTCACATTGAAACAGGGAGCACTGGTTCAGATAAGCTGTGAGCTTCCCTGAGCTGCAGGCCTCATGTTGGAGATGGAAGTAAAGGGAGTACCATAGAAACTGGAATAGCGTCGTCATTAATATGGGCACAAGATAAACAGTTCTATTTTTAAAACACAACCTGTCCATGATGATTATATCAAGGCAAGATGTAGGGGTTCTGTGTATGAGGGTGGGTCAACATATGCAGCTGAATAAGTTGGGAAAATGGGGCACTTCACTGTTGAATGCTAGCACGTAGGACAAAATTCCTTATAATAGAAAACAGCATAGAGATGGGTTCTGATCACCCCGTCTCCTGCAACACTAAGAATTCAACTTGAAGAGATAACTTTTAACATACTTTTTCAGCCTAATCGTTCTGGAGTCATAAGTCTGATTTGCAAGTCCCCCACTCCCAGTGGTTGATGACCCAATCAACACTCTGTCTTGGTCGTCTCTTCTGCCTATGGATGTTGATGGTCTTCCCAAGGACAATTGTGACAAACGTGTTGAAAAGGCGTTGCATAGGGATTTTGAAGCGTCTGCCAGTTCCCTGCAAGCGTCTGCCACGGGATCCTTGTTTGCCAGAGCGGCCTACACCTGGACCTCAGATCTTACAGCGGCAGAGAGTGGCATACTAAAGAGTTTGAAAGATGAATTAAAGAAGATTGCTTTGGCAACAACCTTTGCAGCGGATTTCTCTCTGGATGCGCTCGAGTTAGCAGCCAGAATGATGGCTTGTAGTGTGAGGGCTAGACGTAACACATGGCTCAGAAACTGGGATGCTGATCCAGCTGCTCAAGCAAAAATTGTGGCAGTACCTTTCAAGGGAGTCAACCTGTTTGGTGCAGGTCTGGAGAGATATCTTGTTGAGTACAAGGACAAGAAAAGAGTTCTACCATCTAAGAAGAGGGATGTGACTTCCGTTTTTGGTGATTCCTGGGTCGGATGCATCCCATCGAGCTTTGATGGAGAGACGCCGAGTCTTGGTGGACAGGAGGGGTCCTGGACAGGTCTGGGCCCCCCCAGAGTCCTTGTAGGGGACTAGTGGCCTGGGGTGCTGAAGGGAGTCTCTTCCGAGGCAACGGCTGAGGAATTGAGGCTCCCTCCTACCCTGAGAGGTCCTGCTATCGGAAAGCTGATATGGCGACCAGAGTAAGCTGCCGGATGAAGTGGGCAAGTGATCACATGTGAAAACGTTTCTTCAATAACTTTAAAGCGACAAATAGTGAGTTAATCGACCCCTTTGTTTAAACGGCTGGCCTCTAAGGTGAATGGCATTAACTTATAAACAGGTGGGCTGGGGAGGAGTTGGGGATTCCCTCCCCACAAAAGTGAGCAGTTCCTAGATGCTAAACCAAAAGGAAAAAAGTGTAACTGATCGTGAGACTCTGTGCAGTCTGTGCAGGAGACCAAAAGGTGGAAAACAATACAAAGCGCATCTTAATTGGAGAAGTTTCATTTTAATTCTAAAAACTTTCCCCTTGAGTAAACAATGTCTGGGAGAGGGGGGGAAATGGTGACGGAAAAGAAACCTCTCACAGGAAATGTCCAACCAGTGACTCCCACTCCCTCACAGGCACCAGAAGTAGCTGCAGACTTTCCCAATATGTTGGCAATGGCACTACACCCTCTGCTGGAGCAGATGTCTAACATCAACACCAAGTTGGATGGAGTTCAAAAATAACACATATGGATAAGAGAGCAGATAATTCTGGAAAAGCCATCAAGAAAATCGAGACAAAACCAAAAGATATCAAACAGAAATTGGAGGAAGTAGAAAAAGAGAGAATTTTAGATAAAGATCAACTACTGCAGCTCCAAATGGATAGATCAATGTACGTACTGCATTTTCAAGGTATTCCTGAACAGAAAGGAGAAAATTTAAAAGAACATTTAAATGAAGTTTCGGCACCAATGACAGGTCTCAAACAAGAAACACTACAGAATGATATGTACTTGACATACCAGACATTCAGATTTCATCAAGAAAAATAACTTACCAGGTGAAATATTTGTTAAATTCTCCAAGAGATCGACTAGAGATGCTGTCTTAAAAGGGACAGCTGGAAAAACCTTGAAAATTAAAGATGAAGAAGTGAAAATTTTAAAAGATATTCCATTTGAGGTGAGAAAGTGAAGAAGACAATATAAAGACTTAATTTTTTTCCTCCATGCTAATTCAACTCCTTATAGATGGATATTTCCAGAAGGAC